TAATAAGCTTATTTTGTAAGTTGATAATAAAGAAATAGAATACCAAAACAGGAACTTAGTTCTATAAGAACGATAAAGTCCAGCACTGCTGTAGTGCTAGTCTTCATAAATAAAGTCAAGAAAGGAAAAAAAAAATCTCATACTGCATGCAGCAGTGTTCATAAATACTATGGAAGGGGTTTTTTGTATGTTTCTTGGTTGATTTACTTTTTTTCTGCTTGATCCTGTCTGGTTTTCATTGTAAGCTTTAACAAAAGTGTGTTCGGCTTTTTTCTCCCTTCTAGTTTATGAATTACCTTGGCACACTCAGCCATGTCGTAGAACCTACGTACATGAACATCTTTGATTTTTCTAAATTATTTTCCCATTGACTATGGCAATGGGTGTAGTGGGGAAATTAACGTTCAGCCTGGGGTGTTTTGGGAGAAGAAAAGCTCAGTCGCAAAAAGAAATTCTTCGAATACGTTATGTATTCTGTGCCAAGCATGCTCATCCTTTTGCAAGTTCATTTTCTAAACTCCCTTCTTTGGGCAGCTTTATTTCCTATTTTTTGTTTTGAGAGGGCATGCAAATATTAACCATTATCCTTGGCCTAACAGCAGAAGCTGATCATTGGAAAATATAAGGATTGATGGGTCAGGTCTTTTTGAAAAGAAACTATAGTTAGCAACTTTTCCGGGAAATAGAACGTACTGACTATCTAAGAGAGGTCTAGGTATATGGTCTCAGGGCTGAGCCACAATAACGGACGAAAATACTTTGTTTCCTATGCTTTTTTAGTTATTCTACTACAACTGAGGTGAAAAAAATCCTTAAGAAAAAGAACTTTGTTATTTTACCTCATGATTTTATATTACCTTTGCTCTGCCACATATGCAGGCCTCTGAGTAGGCAACTAAAGCAAGATTTGCTAGGGAGTTCTCTGGATATGTTGTTCTCTATTGGTTTCTTGTTCATCTTGAACATCTAGGCTCAACTTTGTTCAGTGATGGACCATTTTATATGGTTTTCTGGTCTGATTCTTGCTTACATATATTCTTGCAACAGTCTTTGGTTGGACGAAGACTTTAATATGCATTCCTCTGACAGGGAACTAAGGATCAGAGATTAGGTGACTATCTCAGAAGATATTATTATTATTGCTAAGGAGAAAGGTATTATCCATCTCTTGAAGGTAATGATGAAAGCCAAAAGCCATTTTGTCTCTCCTTTACTTACAAAAAGGGTTTTCTCGCTCTGCCTTTTTTATTAGGAGGAGAACTACAGCCTGTGCATGATGTTTTGACTAGAAAGAATGTGTCAGAGTTGTAACTGTAGATGCCCTATATGAATTTCTTAGATCTTTTACATTTGTATTTACATTTTATATAATTGTGTGCTCTAGTTTTCATATATTTCCATATATTTAATTTTATTGTTATGGGTATTTATAGAGGTAAATGTAATAAACTGTTTGATTCAGGAATATGAGAAGGAAAAGAATATTCATCTTGTAGAATTATATTGCCCTTTGTTTCCAAGTCACCTAGCAAGAAGATCTACCTTGTCTAATATATGTTAGGAAAAAGAAAATGTATGGTCAGTGTTCTTTTTTTTCTCTTATCCACTGTCTTTTTTTTTTTTTTTTTTTTCTCCTCTGATTCTTTATTGTCTCCTTGATTTATTCTGTGAATATCTCTGGAGATTAATTGGAAGTAGCAATGGGTTTTTCATTTGTAAAACTGCAAATCTTTCCATTGTATAAATTCATAGCAGAATGTTTCACAATCCTTGAGCTGATAAATCACTTAGAGGGAAAAAAAAAATTATTTCCATTAACTAAGATCTATTCATTAAGAAGAGAAACTCCAAGTTGCATCTGCATCACATTGTCAGTTTATTTTTCACCTTTGTTTAATACTTCAATATACTGGAAGAACTCCCAGGATATCCAGAGTGTTGTCAGACTGTGTGTTTATTTTAGAAAGAGTTCTGGTAATTTTTACATGGAAACGTAAAAAAAATGTGAGGGATGCAGTGATTTCTTTTGCTGGTATTCATGGAGATTTTCATTGTTGCTTTTCTTTTTTTGATTTTTCTTTTGGTCTTGTCCATAGTGTTTAGACTGGGTTGGTCTGTTCTTGTTTTAATTCTTGAAGATGAAATTTTAAAAATGTATCTAAAAATACACTGAAGATTCTGTTGTTTCCTAAAATTGGCAAAGAGGCTGAATTGTTTTATAACACTTTACATTCTGCTATTTCAGACTTGACTCAGTCTTCTGGTGCTCAAATCTGTTTTGGCTTCTATGTAGTCCTTGGGACACAAAAAATGAATTGGGCTGTTGTGTTTTTTCAAGAATGCCAAATACATTAAAGGTAATGTTAGAAAGAGGAAATGGCAGCTCATATCTATAATTATCGTTTGTCTAATTTGTTACTCTTGACAAATTAACCTTGACTCTTGACTGGCAAATAATAAAAATTTTCAAAAACAGCATTATTTTACAAGAATGATATATTCTTTTTCTTTCTCTGGAAATATTTTAACTTTCTGCAGTGTTATTCTGGTAATGGAAATGGTGCAAGTTAGTATCACTTCTTTGATTGATTCCTATAGCCTAAATCTGTGTTAATCTGAGTATGGGTAAATCCCTAGCAAACAGGTAATCTTAATAAGGTTGAAATATCTCCTCTCTAACTTCTAGTTCAAGATTAAGGTCCATTTTTATAGATGACTTCATATAGTCAGTCTAGACAGTCTAGTTATAAAAAATATTTTTTACTTGTTTCCTCTTACTCACTGAAATCAATAAGGTGTGTAAGATAGTGACAAATACTGACTTCCTCTGTGTCTGTGTAATCACTATAGCAATCTCATTGCTAGTATAAATGCCTCTCTTCCCAGTGCTTACACAAATGCCTACCTCCATGAATAAAGGATTAATTCTCCTGCTCATTGTGCTTAGTGTGTCTGTGAAGAGTATGAATAACGTCTTGTACTACTGGCCTCTGTTCTGTTGGACTCTTCATGCAGAAAAAATCATGTAGCAATAAGTAAAATTTTGGTCTCTCTTACCCAGTAATTTTTGTAGTCTCATAACTTGAGAAGCAAGTCAATGCCAGTAATGCTTCTGTAACTAATATTGCTCTTTAAATATCCTCTCCTTTAAGCCCTCCACATATACAGCTCACACTGACTTCAGGGGGTGTTCTATAAATTCAGAAGTTGCGAATTTTGCACATATGATGAATGGTATGGACAACATATTTGTCTCTTGTTCTTTAACTGAAATAATGAAAATGGGAAAGCACAGTTCGTCTGAAACTAACTGAGGGTTGCTCTCTGTTTTTCTCTCCTTTTTCTCCTGTTTTAAGAATTGACACTTTGCCATGGTGAACTCTGGAGGAGATAAATAACCAAACCTATCTGTTACATTTTCCAATTTTCATTCCAGTCTTACAGCTCCTGATTTTCAGATACTTATCTCCTGAAAATAATGATTTTTTTTGTTTGTTTCCCCCTGTTTGTTGTACATCTCATTGTTTCACCCTCCAGCAGGGAATTGTTACTACAGTATAGTAATGTGAGGAATCTCAGTAAGAGAAGTCTTCAAAAGCAGGGCAATATCCCAACCACCTGCTTTAGGGTCAACTTCAGATACTGTGATATTATAATGCCTAAAATTTTGGTATGTGGTTACAGGAAAGTGATTCAGATAATCAAATGGCAACAAGGTTTCCAGTCCTGTAACTGAAGAGGATTCAGAAGGCTTGCAGATTAAGTGAGGAGCTGAACTAGTCCAAAAGAAACACTAGGCACAGAGATGGTTCTGAACTCCTGACCTTCTCTGGCGGTTGGGTGCTTGATGCCGGTACCTTAGATACCTTGGCTCACTCAGGTTCAGAACCTAGGTTCATCCTCTGAGGATAATAACCTAAATAAACATTGAAAATCATAGAATTATGCTTTACAGGGCATATGGCTGTCATTGTTGTCCACCATTTGCCTACTAAGTTAATGGTACTAGCATTTGTCAGGAACCAGGAAGCCTTTAATCTAAAACCAGTTGATGGAGTTTGAATTTACGCTTGCTATTTCCTAGAAATGTACTTTAGTAAGTGGGCTAAGGGCTAGTTTTGGTTTAGAAATCTTCTACCCTGAGGATGATCTGCCATGCATCCTGGAATGCAAGACCTGGAGGGCTGGTGAGAGCATGCAAGAGGAAATCTGACTCTATCCATATAGCTGTGACAGCCAGCCCAGAGGCATGGTATATTATGCCTGTGTAGGTTTCCAGTCTGAATATTTTAATTTCGTTTTGAAAAAGCAAGAGAATGATTCTGTGTGCCAGATTTTCTTATGAAGACTGAATTACTGAAATCAGAATTGCTCCTCCCTATATAAGATGTTGTCAGACATTTGTTAAATAAGAACAAATTGCAAGAGAATAAAACACTAACTACATTTCATTAGTCAGAAGAAGAGCAGTAGGTCTTTTAGAAATCTATAAATACCTGCATGGAAAGATATGTTCCTTTGCTTGATGATTCAAGCAGGTAATTTTATGTATGAAAGCCATGCTATCTGCTGACTTTTGTAATAGAAAAGGAAGTAGATTTTTCTTTTGCACAAATAATCATATATATTAAAAAATCCTATGCCCAAAGCCTCTAAAAAATCTAGTCTTCTGAGAGGGCAGGCTTTAGATCTTTTCAGTTATGAGATGGTAGAAGAAGAAGAAGGTTATAAAATAAATCAGAAAAAGAAAAGATTATTTCTTAGATGCTTTTAGTTCTAGAACTATTCCTTAGCATGTGCAAGTATGTTCTGATATGGAGTTGTAGAATCTCCAGTATCAAATCTAGGTTTTAGTTTCAGGAACAAAAGTACATTACAATCACATGGACGTTGAAGAAAAATAGCCTATTAATATCAGTCAGCTTGGTAAATCTTTATAGAGTTGTCTGCTTGTTTGTAACTTTTTTTTTTTCCCCCTTAAAAATGCTATGTATTTTCAGGTTGAATGAGTTAATTGAAACATTTCTCGAAGATAATGATCCTGATAGCACTCTGGATGTTGGTGCTGACATGCGCAAGATCAAGTATTGCTTCGTTCATGTGAAGGTATTTCTTTTAAACATAGATGGAAGTGCAGCTGTCACTGAAAACAACTTGAAGACATGCACGGTTGAAAGTTGTCAAAAGAAATGCAATGCAGTTGAGAGGCATTGGAAAAGGGTAAAACAATTGAACTATGAAGTGCATAGAGGACTGATAGAACTTTGAAAATTAGTTGGAAAAATTCAGCAGCATTTTGTGGAAACCTCAGCAAGGGTCTCCGCATGCAGAAAATTGTAAGAGAGCACTGGAAGTTACTGGAATCAACACAGACATGTTATTGGTATATGGATGGGTGTATCCATCTGTATTCCCAGCACTATGGAGGCTTTATTTTGGAGAAACTATGTTGAAACAGATAAAAATAGAGTAAAACATCATATACCTGAATTTGTTACACTAACTCTCCTGATGGTGTTGTAAGCCCTTCTAAATCATCAAGCAAACAGGATACACATAAACTAGGAAGAACAAGTGAAATTAATAGGGAAATCAATGGAAGTTAATATATACTTTTCTGTATTTTGGGATATAGTTTTCCAATACAATAATGTATACATTCCTGATCTTAATTTATTGTCTTTAAATAATTAGGTTTTAGTTATATTGTTAATACTGAAAGCTCTGTGACACTAGAGAACACTGGAATTTATGTGTAGGAAGAGTAAAGTAAATTGTACTCTTGGTACTGAAGATCAACAAATACAACTTGTCCCATACTTGACACAGCGCATATAACTTGACAGTCAACTGGTGGCATGTTCTGTCAAGAGTCTAGGAAGGCCTTACGTTTTCTGCCATAGGCAGTCTCAGAGTAGAATAAATACATAGCTGGAGGTAAAGTCAAGTGAGTGTGCTTTTTTTGTTTCTCCTAATAGCAACTAATGAATCATTCAAAGATTTCTGATAAAAAACTGCTCTCACAACACATCTCTGAAGAAAAAGACACTAGCAAAGAAGCAAGAGAAGAAGAATTGAAAAAACTGAAAAAACTTCTGCAGCAAAGAGACAATGAAATCCGTATCCTTTGTGAGGAACAAAATAATGTTTGAGCTGATCTGGCTACAATGGGTTTTGTGTGTGTGAGATAGGCATTAGCTGTATGGAAGGAAATTCTCTGTACTGGCCCCACTGTGTTAAAGCAGTTTCTCAGTTCCCAACTTTTATGTGGCAGGACTCCTGCTTTGCACCTGCTTCTATTTCAGTCATGACCCAAGCCAAAATCCTGGATCCAAGCACCACTTAGCTTTAGAATGGTCCGGCCAAGGTCCAAATACTGTGGATCAGGCCATACCTAAAACACTCTCCTCACGCAAATTAAACCATTTTTTAGAATGGGAAACTCTGATGCTATATAAAGACCAATTTATTACCTTACAAATAATAGAATTTCCTGTAAGGATTATTTTTAGCCAAATGAAGTGCTACTTTCGGGACTATTGGGCTATTTGCCTTTAGAATAAATGTGAAACTTGTACTCTTTACATGCAACTTAGAATTTAAATTAAAGCTAAAGCTTTTTGCATATAAACATACTAACTGCTCAGGCATGCTTTGTCCATTTACTGCCTCACACAAAACACGTGACTAGCTGCACTGTTGCATGATGCATGGGAGTTATTTTTAGCAGGTTGACAGAACTGTGGGCAGACCACAGCATCACTGTGTCCCTAACTTTGTGGCTAGTTGATGGGTAAAATTTGAATATGGCAGAGAACTGAAAAAATGGGTTTGTACTGGTTTTGAGTTTATAGGTAACAGAGATTCTTTCACAGTTATTAGTAAAAAGCAAACTCAGTTGCATTCTTTGTGCTTAACAATTCCAGACCAATTTTATATGAACCTTGAAGATTATGGAGAGGTTCATATTGAGCGAACTCCACAGG